AGGACTGAATTTTTGCTGTGGCTGAGTTCAAAATTACTGTGCTCAGGGGCACCCAACGGGGATTTGGTTCAAAACCACTTAACATAGCATTGTTGAACGTATTTTAGTATTCAAACGGTAGATATAGGCATTTTTGTATCCCCTAAAAGCTTTTCATCTGTTGGGATTTCCTAGCTGAAAGTCCAGTGATCCGAAAATTATAGGGATAAAAACTTACTTCTCGAAAATTTCAGCCAGGAAAAGGCTCCCGAAAATTCTAGGTAGCCTTTTTTGGGTCAAAATCCGTTAAAAATGGATAATTATACCATTTTGTAGATGTTCGAAAATCCTAGGAGAGGCAGGCAAGCAAGAAATTTTACAACAAATACTCCGAAAATTCTAGATCTCAAATCGTCTTCCGAACAGATATTTTCCCGAAAATTGCCGTTGGGTGCCCCTGTGTGCTTCGTTTTCCGAAAAATGCAACACGAGTTTCATATCTCCTTACTGTGTTAGGCCAAAAACCGCCAGCAAATCCTCTCGTACATCCTACTGCACTAGTGTTTTCTCCTTCTGCTACTTCTTCTTTTTTTTTTCATTTGGCTCTCTACAGATAGCCTGCGCGCAGACACTTTAAACCTTGTTATCCACACTATATGCGATACGTGGGCCGGCTGCACCGCAGGCTATCTACAGAATAAAGCAAGGTCCGTGAGGTAAGGATGTGTCAAACTTTTTCCTTATAATAATCTCCTGGTCATTTGAAACAATCTTGTTCACCTTTCAATGCAAATTTATACTTAATATACTGCTTGTTACCAAGTTCAAACGGTTGATTAACACGACCTCACTCGCTACTTGCAAAGATTAGCCTGAGAGAAAGAGTGACGAACGAAGCGAGCGGCGAGAGAATACGAGAGAACAAGCGCCGCCGCTCGTGTATGCTTTTCACAATATCCTCCTAAGGGTTCAAGAGCTTACTATCACGCTACCAGGAGGCTACAATGCGCGGCTTATAACCTATATTAATATAATGCTGCGCTCAATTAAAAATCACACCGCAGCATTACGCCATCATTGGCTACTAATTGGGCATCGTAAATTATCATCACTATCATACAATATCGCAGTATACGAAAGGGGAACATTTGACCACAAAATACTACAAGAATATAAACTCGAATTAAAATGAATAAATTATCGCTATATTTCTCCCGTTTGAAACAAACGGCGCTTTGACTATAGCCTTTGAAAAAATGCAAAAACAATATTTGAAGATTTCATTGCACTGCGAAAGCATTTTAACACCGAAACTCTCTGAGATTGTTATTGACAGTGAGAACGATGATGATCGACTGAGCTTTTACAGTGAAGTTCACTCAGTAACTATGAGAAGGGAATGTAACACTCGGACGCCGAGTAACACTTGTTCAGTTCCAGAAAAGCGTGGAGAATGAACCAAATTAAATAGGGTAAGTAAAGCCTCCAAAGAAAATCTACAGCTCCCTAATTTTAACTACGTCTTAGGATCGACTGTCGTATACAGCTGACATGGCGACTGAGGAATTGTGGCTAATTGTGCTGTGAGGTCAGTGTATATTTCCTAAAAGCACAGTTGTGGCTATGGTTTTAATTAACATGCAATTCGATTACTACTTCAGTTATTACAGATTCACAGTTTCTCATTAGACTGCACACAGTAGAGACAACGAGTGCATTAATATTGCTGCCTAGGTTTTATCTGATCTTATCTTGATGGCTATTTGGCATATTATAATCCGGATACTCGATACACAAAAATTTTACAATAAACTGAATTTATTACTTTCCTTCTATTTTATCGACAACCGTTTTTAATGGTAATTAAAAAGCAAAGCAATTATAGTATAATCCAATTTCAACTGCGATCGTCTGGAAGGATCCCGCCAGCAAGACTCACTGAAAAAAGAATGAATGAAACGAAAATACTTACAAACCTAAAATAAAACGTAACATTAAAATGCTTCTAATTTTAAAAGAATATGTATGCATTTATAACCAAAACGGTTAAGTGCCACAGGCGCTTATTGCAGTTTCTTGTCCCAGTAGTTTTGTTTGTCACAAACCAAAACCTTTGACCACTTCTCGAACGCACACTCGAATTTTAGCTTCTTCTAACATTATAGCGGAAGCAAATTTACGAGTAGAAGTTGTTATAATTTCATTTTACGAAAATAGCTAGTTATAAGGATTTCACATTGTAGACTGCGGTAAGAATGGAGCGCTTTTAGCAAGTCTTTCCATCGCAAATTTTGCCGCAGAAAAATATTTATTTTGAAGCAATGTATTGTATTAAAAATGCCTGTAAAGCTCTTCCCTTTTCCAAATTTCAGTCTTCGCGTTTTATTATTACAAAGGAACGTTTTCGAGTTTATTCAAGGTTCTATACTAATAAAGTCAACAGGGAAGTTCGTGATGTAAAAAAATGACAATAATCAGTACCGTCAACCATGCATGATATCAAATGGAAGACAATAACTCCACTAAATAAGTAAATTAAACGAGAACATGTTGAGCAAACAAGCGAGCTAATCAAGAGCGACAGTTTACGTCATGAGAGGTGAGAAGGCAATTAAATACAACCTTAAATACTTAATATACAACTTATTTTATAATTATGCTTAAGACAACTGACTTAACGTATGTCCTTTTCTAACCAAACATCAAAGAATAAGGTTTATTTCGAAAAAATAATTGTAAGTACCACAAAAGTAGACCACTCATCGCCAACCTTCCCATTCCCGGTTTAAAAAGATCGATCCCTTGTTCAAGACGCTTATTATAAAAAGTGAAATTGTATACCCTGTAAAGACTCAAGACTTTGAAAATCATATCCTCTTCAGAGACACAATGAGGCCAAATAAGGGAGTACCCCCCTTGGTAGTCTGTTCAAACAATGACTACAGGCTTACTATTTAGTAAGAACTCAACCCCACAAAAATATCTTTTAGAGTCGTTTTAAAGGAAAATTAAAAATCCCTTGCCTTTTGTACCCAAGTCGGGTTGATATCATTATTTTATTGTAAAGACTGTTTTATTGTAAAGATCGTGTGCGTTGACTCCATTGATTATATTTAATGTGTAATTTCCAAACGAAGGCATTACTCAACAAGTTGAAAGTTTAAAACTGTCTTCCAGCACGATAGAAAATAAATCAGGAAAACCTCATTTTTTCTATCTCATCAAGCACTGAAAAATGTTAAATGGTTGCATTAACGTTGTCAAATACTAAATTATGTATTTGTCAATAGAATTCCAAAATACGGTTTTTTAAAAAATCACGACTGAGTTATACTAATAAGCTTTGTTTAGAATATTGTCAAAAGGTTTCGATCTATTAAATGAAGGTAAAACGCCTTTCTGGCAGTGTTTGATCTCACTTTAGGGAGAATTAAGTTCTGTCCACTTCCCCTCTTGTTGTGGATTTTCTTACTAACACTGCTATCAATTTCAATAAACTTACATTTGTGATTATTTAGTGACGAAAACTTTAGAAGTGGCTGTATTCCAGTCAGAAGGTCCTTTAGCATAGTCAAAAATACCTAATAAAATTTGTACCTATGTAATTCATGTTCCCATAGATATGGAGTTGTTTTGTTAAGAAGTGAATTCATTACAAAAAAAAATATGCTGTAAAATCTTCGTCGGCGTGTGACTTAGTCTAACTTCATGCTGAACTCGGAACAAAAACTAAACACAGGAAGTTAAAAATCCTAACATTACTAGATAGTTTTTGGATGAAGAAATTTTCAGTCAATATTTAATGTTCATTATCAATCAGCCCAACAGTAATCATCAATTTATAGTACACGAAAGCTTGTTAAAACACGAACAAAGAATCAACAGAAAGGAAGAAAAAGCTGTTGTTAAACTAACGTGGCCTATGTTACTTACGACGACCAACTCGGTCAGAAAAGAGTTCACAGGTAACAAATTTTCCAGTTTTTTTCAAGTCCTTTGAGTCTGTTTTTTTTCGCTTCGTATCGGTAATTTGCGCTTCCTAACGATTCATAGTGATCGGGAATTGTTTTGAGGCTTTTCACGCAATGCGAGTACCCAAACGGACTGCAAAATCTCACTTTACTCGCAATGAATTCGCGAACTGGACTGCAGCTCACAAAATAAGAGGAGTTACAATTTTTTTTAGCTGATCGGAGAGTCTTTCAAAATCTGTTTCTCGAACGTAGTAAAGTTTGAAAATATATACATCCTTGGGTACGTTTTCTTAAAAGCGACGAGGGGCACAGAAATAGGTGTGACTGAGTAAGAAGGCGACTGTTTTCTGTAAAATATCTGTTCGGAGAAGCAAATATTGCCTATAATTTCCTATTACTTTAGGACGGCTAAAAATAAAAATTTCTAGATGACTGTACCATGTACAATTTTCGAAGCCTATCTCATAAATCCCCTGCGATTTTCTATTAATAGTTTAATTTTTCACATTTCACTCCTCGGGTTGGGCTATTTTTCGTAGATAAAAGGAAACTTAAAATTTTCAGATTCAAAAATGTGACGAAGAAAGGAATTAGTAAAATTCTCACCAGTTTGGTGATACGTTAAATTACATCTAAAATTTTCGGTAAAATAACCTGAGGCCCTTGTACTTTCAAAAAAGTTCAAGTTCCTCTAGGATGACCGAATAGATACGTTTTAGATCATTTTATAGCTCCGGTTAGAGATGCATTTCTAGCTATCTAAAAGTACTCTGGATTATAGCCTAAAAAGCATTTTCAATGTGTTTAAGAGGAAACCGTCGTTGGCTGCCCCTGAGAGTAAGTTCACGATAAATTGAAAACTGCGAATTTTAGTAAAGGTTAAGGATTCAGCTAGATTTAGTTTTTATGAGGGTCTTTTTCAGGCAAACTTTAAACACGACACTTTAAGAAAACTAGTGGTAGGATTTGTTTGACCATTTAATTGATTTTATTTCTGACTTTATTTTCCAACTTCGTCTTTAGAAAAACCCCTAAAACACCCACACGATGAGTACAGCGTGTAAAGTTTCTCTAGCTCTGTTGTGTTTATTTGCTGTTCCGTCGTTTTTGGTCTTGACAGCAGTGGCGGGCAACAAAACCAAACAAACTTCGAGCAATATGGTGAGTCAATTAACTTTCTGCGCGGGACCATGCCTGATATAACTGGAACAAAAGCGAAAAAACTTCAAGAACAGAACTTTGGGCAATCCAATAACTGCTAAAGAGTACTTTTCTGTGAGTATTTATCTAGTCTCGGTCGACGTGAAGGAATGTCCAAACAATGGATCGCATCTTTCATGACTTTACCAAAGTCTCGCTCCTTATCAGCAAAAATCATTTAGAAAGAGGTTTAGGGAACTTCTTACATCCATCAACATCAAGTAACTTCGTTTCTCGATTAAGTTTTATGTCTTGACCGTATATCTAACGATGCTTTAATGTAAAGTTTCTCCACAACACTTAACACAACGAGCCAAATAGAGTTGGGAAACAGGAAACTAAGGGGAAAAAATATTTTAAGGTTGTTTGCAGACATTATTATGAAATATTCGTCAAAACTTTTTCAGGGGTTTATTTTCCGAAAGGCTGGTGGGGGAAAGAAAGGGGGTTAAATTGTTTAAAGTGTGTCATAAAGAAGGCACAGTACTTTCCTTTCTTTTTCTTTTTTTTTTCCCTGGAGGTGGCTAAGCATCGCCGCTGAGACTAAATTACTGAAGGAGTTATTTTGCTCAACGCACAATAACACTTTTTAAAGTAACTTTTTGTTTATCTCTCTAGCAATCTCCTCCATTCTGCGGGTTTGGTGGTATTCCAGGCATGCACGGGTTACCAGGCCGTGACGGACGTGATGGCCGAGAAGGAGTGAAAGGTGACCCGGGAAGCCCGGGAAAGACTGGACCTCTGGGACCTGCTGGTGTAAATGGAAAAGAAGGTGTCAAAGGAGAGCCTGGTGTACAGGGCCCACCTGGTCCAAAAGGGGAGCGTGGACAAAGTGGACATCCTGGGAACCCAGGTCTGATGCCTTTTAAGAACTGGAAAGAGTGTGCATGGAATAAATTGAACGATGACAAAGACAACGGTTTAATAAAGGTAAAGGTTAAAAGATTTACAAATGATATTTAATATTACATGGCAAAGGTTACTTTTATAACCAAATGATTTGTCTATTCAAAGTTATTTCCTGCATATTTTATAGGAAAGTGTCTTCACCAAGAACTTTTCTTACACCGCTCTTCATGTGGCCTGGACTGGTGCCCTTAGAATCTACAAGTGTACAGGCTGTTGCAAACGCTGGTACTTCACTTTCAACGGCGCAGAGTGTTCAGCTCCCTTGCCCATTGACGGTATTGTGTACATGTGGCAGGGCAACACTCAAAGTCTTCACCGAGTCCGCCATATTGAGGGGCACTGTAACAACATCCACAAAGGAAAGGTGCGCGTGGGATTCTGGGTTGGTAATTGTCCGAGTGAAAAACCTGGCGACGCCTACACAGGCTGGCAATCTGTGTCCCGGATCTTCATTGAAGAAGTTCCTGAGGCTCAGGCCTAGATACCGAGGCAAAACATTCCTTCCTGCAAAGAAAAACACTTGTCAGCTTTTTAATCAAGGGTGCATGCGCCCGCACTACTATAGGGTACCAGCAGATGGATTGTGATAATATAAGTAATGTGTAAACATAGTTGATTAAAAACGCAGGATGCTTTCAAATGTTGTGTTTGTGCTGATCTCCCATTACATGCTACTTTTTGACTATAACGCAAAGCTTGCATTTTCGGCCTATTACTATTGCTTTCTTCTTTCTAATTAAAAGGGGAGTTAAAATTGTCTCGACTTATTGAGAAATTCTATGAAAAACGAATCAATAAGAATTTTAACAGATTTAAAAATTGTCTTGATGTATTTGAGTTTAAAAGGTTTTTTTTTACAGTTTCCTAAATACTCCCTGTTGCTGTTGCATATAACAGGAAAATCGTAAAAGGAGTTTTTTCGAATCTTTTTAATGGGACCTTAAAAATGTCGCCAGATGAGTCAAAGTTAATTAAAGTGGAATTGTTGGGAAACCCTTTGTTATATGTTTTTGTTACCTTTTTTGGATCTGACCTTGTACAACGTTCAATTATAGTATTCCTATCTTTTTTAACTTACTGACCAATAGAAACATTCCATGAATTTATTCAGTCACAATTCTTGAACAAAAAACAAAGGATTGTGCACGGCCAGGGCTTCCAACATAAACTACAGCACCATTGATTTCAACTTTGATGTTTTCCGGCTTTCCTAACCAGTCTCCTCTTCTAACTATGGCTGAATCTACCTGGCTGCAGTTGCGGCTGCTAAAAAGATATTTCTCATAGCATCCCCCCTTAAACTCCGAGCCGTCGTGCAAACACTAGTTCTAGATAATCTGTCCCGAAATCCTTTAGCCCGGCCAACACCCCGAGTGCCCTCTTTCAAATATTTACATTTGACGTTTTCAATCAGTTTTGTCTTCATGGCAGGCGTTTGTCTATCCCTTGCCGTATATAACGTTGTTATACCTTGTCTTTTCTATTGGTCAATCGGAGCTTGTTGCAGGCAAGGAGCAGGCACTACATAAACATATAATTTATTTTAATCGGCTTAGTCGCAGCCGGAATAAATTTTCTTTTAATTATCATATTTTCAAAGTTTAAGTTAAGCCTATTCTTCATCACGTTCGTACATCCACAACGCTTTGACAACACTGACAACGTTACGACGCAATATAATAGATGTAAATAAGAAACTAACACATAAATAAAAAGCTGTCTTCAATTTGCTACTACTATTTACATTGCCGCTATAGAAAACTGTTTATTGTGAATGCTTTCATTGGCAAAGCCAAAAACTATTTAGGACCCTTTGGCAAAAATCGCGCGCAGCCCAAAACAAAGACAAAAAAGAGATATTTTTTTGATGATGCATCTGGTATCGCACAGAATTTGACTTCAAATTATTGTTTATCTACTTGCGTACCAGAAAAATGCCTTTTTATGCCCTTTTTTTAATTTACGCTCCAACGTAGCCTTAATTTGGACACGCGCTATTAGACCCGTTATAGCTCAATCCGTACAATCTGGTAGAATTGTTAAAAGACTGAGCATAGATTTATACCAATTTTTTCGCATTGAAAGGAAGAACTGTTCTCATTAAAATCACAAAATAAAAAAATTGGAATCACCGTACTCATTTTTGCGGTAGAGATGCAGAAAGTGCGCACCAAATACATTTCCTCCGATTTTCAGAGAGGACTGGAGCGAGTTTCTAAATGGCATGTAAGGGGGAAGAAAGCATTAAAAACTCCGTTTTAAAAGAATTTATATCGAGATATCAGAGTTAAGACGCAATGCGACAAAGATGGAGCTTAAATGAAACTCAAAGTGAGTTAGCACAAGTTGAACATCCACTACTGAGATTCTCTGTGAGGAAGTCAACAACAACAACAATGATAAGCTTTATTTGCATGACTATAACAAAGTGTTACAATATTGCAAAAGCTACTTGAATTTAATTATTGATTCCCTTTTTTTAATTAAATATTTAAACTAACTTTAAATATATTAATCATTGCCTATTTTCAACCATCAGTAAGATTAATTATTCCGGAGACGAGTTTGTCTCTCAGTTAAAAGCAAGATGATATAAATGAAGTTAAGTTGTTAAAGTTGTTCTTCTTGTATTACGAACTGTATTCGTCAGTTTCTTGCAACTGAAGCTTTGGACGAGAATTCCTTTGCAGATACACTGTAATTTTCTGGGAGTTATAATAACTCCTCTAGTGGGGCTAATTTAACTCCTTACATTGGAGTTATTTTTCGTGGAGTTACTTTAACTCCAAAAAGGAGTTTAAAAGAACTCTTTTTCAGGAGTAAAAGTGACCCCAGATATTAAGGAGTTAAAATAAGCCCTAAAAAGGAGTTATCCTGTACCTAAAATTTTTACTCCACTTTCAGAGTTAAATTAACTCCAAAAAGAGTAAAAACAACCCATGTAAGGAGTACAAGTAACCCCATTTCGGAGTTATTTTAACTCCAGACTAGGAGTAAAAAGAACTCTTTTTCAGGAGTAAAAATGACCCCAAATTCGGAGTTAAATTAGGAGTTAAAATAACCCCAAAAAAGGGGTTATCCTGTACCTAAAATTTTTACTCCATTTTTGGAGTTATAATAACTCCCTAAAAATTACGGTGTTGGAGATAGTCCTTCGGCAGTTTTCCTCTAATTCCGCGTCAACTATCACAAATGTGTTAGCGTTGCATTTTAAGGTTAAATTTGACCAGCTATTTATGCAGCGAGTTCTACGGTCACGATTGACTTCAAACTTGCAGATACAAAACTAGAGATCTAGAGCTCTGAGGCTTATTTGCCGAAGTTAGAGAAAAATCTGTCTTAGGGTCGAAGTTATTGACATTTTTTTGTGAAACTGCAGTTTTAAACATATGCCGATATCTCAAACGTTTCTATACCTACAAGAAAATAAATCACAGTTTCTTAAAGTTCGACCATTCTTTATTAAGGACGCCAAAAATCATAGAAATCGGTCAATCTTTCCTGCCGAAAAACGCAATTTAAAAACATAACCAACGTACAAATAAATAGGTTCGGGCCACCTTAATTGGATGTTAATAAAATAGTCAGCAGAATTCATTAGATGTGATAAAAAGGACTCATGTGATTGTAGTCGCAGAAACGGCATTTTAGGTTCTAGTTTAGCGAAGAACATCTCTCTTGCTTATCGAAGAAAAACTTGGACAATCTACTAGAAAGTGAGTTTCATCTTCAATTCCGTTACAATTGTAGAGACTGCATAGCCTTTCGTCACGTGGTATATTGTCGTAACTACCTTTCTCAATCCTAAGTTTGTGACTGCTTATTCTCAGTTTCGCAAATGTTTTCCTAGAAGCAAGGGTTCTTTTTGTTAGATCCAGGTAGGCAGGGGGGTTCTAAAAGGCCATTTTCACGATGGCGTCATTTTACTACTACGACCAGAATTCTTTTGGGCTTTCTTTTCATATTTATCCATAATCCCAGTGAGGTTTAAATAACAAAAGCCCTAATTTGCACAAGAAAGCAAACCCTGAACGATCAATGTCATAGTTAGTAAAATGACGCCATCATACAAAAGGCCTAAGTATACGTTTTGATTTTTTGATAGACGTTTTTGTGAGCGCTGAAAGGTATGAGTCCAGTAAGAGATAGGGGCAGTAAATGCAAACTGCGGACTGACTGCGGACTATTGTTTTTAGGGTTAGAAAACAATAGAACTATTGTTGTGCCGTACTCATTGGCCTGGTGAAAACAATAGTCCGTAGTCTGCGTTTTACACTGACCGGTAAGGGATATATTTCTTTTTGATAAGATCTACATAGTGCTTAATTTTAACTCAGCAACACGCTAGACTTGCGACAAATCGACCTCTTATAAGTTAAGCGACATTCAAGAACGACGAACCAGGAAAAAAAAATAAAACACTTTCAGAAAGTCTAGCAACACGCGTACTGCTTGCGTTATGCACTCTCCCAACACATTGAGTCTCATCTCGGCAAGACTCAACCGCAAGTGAAAATTCCAACAGCCTTTCTCTTCACTCAACTTCATTTTAATAATCATGTTAGTTCAGATGCTCTTTTTCACGGCGGTCATCTTGTTAAGCGCAGTAGGAGATGCGCAGTGCAAAACCAGCGAATCACCTTAAAGGGTTAAGCTCATCGCCAAATGGAGTGTTTAGTTTTTATTCTGATTCCTCCATATAATACTGAACTATGAAAATCAAGGGAGAGACAACAATGTACTAGCGGTTTTCATGTATTATTATTTATTTGCTACTTATTAGTTCGTCTTTAATTTATATTTTCATGCCCTTTTTTGGCCCGTTACAAACACGATTAAACAAGAGAGAACGACGCCCTTTTGCTCCTTTTAAAGAAACTACATTTATCTGTATCATGCTTCCTTTTGTAAAGAAGTCAACTTCCCTCTGTAATTGAGTGTCCGGCATACCAGGTACACCTGGATACAAGGCCGTGGTGGAAAAAATGGCCATCACGGGGAGAAAGGTGACCAAGGAATGCTAGGAAATTCTGGACCCCAGGGACCTCCTGGCCCTACCGGTGCAATCGGCAGGAACCTGGTGTCCCCGGTCCCAAGGGGGAGTCTGGATCAAGTGGAATGTGGACGGAATGTGTTTGGAAATCTTGGATGATAACAGGGATTAAGGTCTGATAAAGGTAAGGTTAAATTGTATCTGTATTCAAATCCCTCTTCATTTTATCACTTGAATAACACATGGAAAACCGGACCATAAAAAAGGAATTGGCGCCAAATGCTTTGCTTTACACTCAGAAGCATTCGGTGCACGATTTATTGGACCTTAACTTTGAGATAGGTAGGAAATATACCACAAGGAGTTGTAAAAGTTATAAAAATTATTCTCCCGGCTGGAGTTGTTCAAATGTTGGATAGCTCTATCCACCGGCTAGATCATTATCCAGTAGATAACACAGTAATTGGTTTTTGTACTACTTATCCGCT